TTACAAACTGTAAATTAGATTGCACTTTCATATCGTTTATGTGCTAAATTAGCACTTTATTTTATATAATGACCTTTTGTCCAATTTATCAGTCTCTTGAGGCAAACGATGCAGGGTTATTCACTAAAATGAGAATTCAAAGTGAATTCCAAATTTAAGGCCAAATTTGCTTAATTGGATTTTTACAAATCAGCAATTTTGTTTGCACTAAAGAACTAAATTGGGTAATAAGCCATGAAGTCATCAAAATCACGTGCTAAACTTTCTTCAGCAATGGCATGTTATACTCCACTATTCTAAATAGCTGGCTTAAACGCATTACATAAGTCTTTTGATTAATGTAAATGTTGAAAAAATGAGGAGACATATGTAATGTCATGACATCGGCAGATCATATGGGTGGAGTATTGAGATGTCCCATCATAGGCAGAGCACATGGGGGAGTCTGCAGAAAATCTTTTTGGCTAGAATGGCATAAATCCTTGCATCGTTCCTGACCTGCCCTCTATCTTAAGTTATCCAAATCACTCTGCAGAGATGTCAATTTCTGCTCAGACTGCTTTACGTCACCTACAATATACACACGAAAAATGCCAACACTCCGGATTTAAAAAAGATGTATTGTCCTAAAAAGTGGATTTAGTACAAAGCCCTGCACTGTGACATTTTTCGCGTGTATATTGTCTATGGAGTACCTGCCACAATGCTCATAGTGGACCCTAGACATTCTATTTATTTTTTTTATTTTGGATTCTTACCTTACTTATGCCATCATTAGGTTTGATCACAAAAGCAATATTTCACTTATATTGTTTTTTAACACTGATGTGAACTATGTGATTTACAAAGAAAGGGGCAGCCACCCCCTAAGCGGTCTATAGTGTGTAAAGGGAACTTAATAGTGGGTAACCCTAGAAATAGAATACATTAGAAATGACCAAAGGACATAAAGTCCAGAGGGCACAGTAAAGCCCCTATATGAATATAATGTAATTAAAACTCAATTTATTTATTTATGTTTAAAAAGGAACAGTAATTAAACCAAAAAACACACACACAAAAAGGAAACTTATAAACACAAAATAAAGGGGAGCTGATAAGCTCCAAGTAAGAAATAGAGTAGAAGGGGTTTTAGAGCAATAGAGGCTGCTTGTAAAAAGAATGATAAAATAGAGACAATTATAAATCCTAATCGTGTATAGGTTACAAGGTAGCTATGGTGAGTAAAAAATATACTCACAAAGAGTTTGAACATTATGGTACCTATAGGACAGTACAACAAGGAAATATATACAATGTAGCAATTAAATCCTATAACCAAAGGATTACATAGGGATAATGTCTCTGAAAAACATTAAGTAGCTAAGCCTTCATTGAACTTGCTAAACACTAAATCGACTTCAATGTCGCTGTCTGAAAAAAGAATATTGTAATGAAGGCAAAAAGCTAGGTTGTTGTAAAACAGAGACAAGTATAGAGTAAATCCATCTGTTAGTTATCAGGTAGTTGTGGTGAGTAGAAAAAATATACTCACAGAAAGGTTGAACCCAATAGCTTAGTTGCTAAGCAGTATAATACCTATGAAATGATGCCTCAAGGGAATATATACAATGCAAAAAAATCTATAACCAAAGAATTGCAAAAGGATACTGCCTCTGAAGAGAGTTTGTAGTTGAGCCTTCATTAAACTTGCTAAATGTTTAGTCGACTTCAAGGTCGCTGTCTGAAAAAATTATGCAAAGAAGGCTAAACAAAAGGAAGCAAAAAAATGCTTTAGACAAAAGGCAAACCTTCCATGTTAACTAAACAATTGCCCTAATGATAAACCGAATTTCCCCTCTTGAAATTTCTACAAAAACCTTCACCAACTAACCATAGTGGTAACAAAAATTGTGATGTGAGTTTAAAAAAAAAAAAAAAAGAGTAAGCCAGATGCGCGTTTCGGCTCTGCTAAAGTGCCTTTGTCTGAGGCATTGAGATGTTCAACCTGTTGTGGTGCTTTTTAAATGAGATTAGAGTGAGGTTTGAATTTTTTGCAACATTATATATATTTCCTTGAGGCATTATTTTATAGGTATTATACTGCTTAGCAACTAAACTATTGGGTTCAACCTTTTTCTGAGTATATTTTTTCTACTCACCACAACTACCTGATAACAAAAAGACTGATTTACTCTATACTTGCCTCTGTTTTACAACCAACCTAGCTTTTTGCCATCATTACAAAATTATTTTTTCATAAAGCTACCTTGAAGTCGATTCAGTGTTTAGCAAGTTCAATGAAGGCTTAGCTAAATAATGTTTTTCAGAGACATTATCCCTCTGTAATCCTTTGGTTATAGGATTTAATTGCTACATTGTATATATTTCCTTGTTGTACTGTCCTATAGGTACCATATTATTCAAACTCTCGGTGAGTACATTTTTTACTCACCATAACTAACTTGTAACCTATACACGATTAGGATTCATAATTGTCTCTATCTTATCATTCCTTTTACAAGCAGCCTCTATTGCTCTAAAACCCCTTCTTACTTAGAGGTAATCATCTCCCCTTTATTTTGTGTTTATAAGTTTCCTTTTGGTGTGTGTTTTTTTTGTGATTCAATTACTGTTCCTTTTTAAACATATATATAAAAAATTGAGTTTAAATTACATTATATTCATATAGGGACTTTACTGTGTCCTCTGGACTTTATGTCCATTGGTCATTTCTTTGTGAACTATGTGATTTAGATTAATTTGTAATAAACTAGTGATTCCTTTTTCCCACAAAGCAATTTTTAGGTAAGGCTCATGAAATACTTTTGACAGAGTAGAGAACGTCTTCGGAAACATACAGATGGCTTACTTGTAGTTTTTTACTTATAATCCTTTATTTTTAAATTGCGTAGAAAAATCAAAAGATAACACAATTTACACTGAAAATACTTATATACAGGGAGTGCAGAATTATTAGGCAAATGAGTATTTTGACCACATCATCCTCTTTATGCATGTTGTCTTACTCCAAGCTGTATAGGCTCGAAAGCCTACTACCAATTAAGCATATTAGGTGATGTGCATCTCTGTAATGAGAAGGGGTGTGGTCTAATGACATCAACACCCTATATCAGGTGTGCATAATTATTAGGCAACTTCCTTTCCTTTGGCAAAATGGGTCAAAAGAAGGACTTGACAGGCTCAGAAAAGTCAAAAATAGTGGGAATATCTTGCAGAGGGATGCAGCACTCTTAAAATTGCAAAGCTTCTGAAGCGTGATCATCAAACAATCAAGCGTTTCATTCAAAATAGTCAACAGGGTCGCAAGAAGCGTGTGGAAAAACCAAGGAGCAAAATAACTGCCCATGAACTGAGAAAAGTGAAAGCGTGCAGCTGCCACGATGCCACTTGCCACCAGTTTGGCCATATTTCAGAGCTGCAACATCACTGGAGTGCCCAAAAGCACAAGGTGTGCAATACTCAGAGACATGGCCAAGGTAAGAAAGGCTGAAAAGACGACCACCACTGAACAAGACACACAAGCTGAAACATCCAAGACTGGGCCAAGAAATGGCATCCTCCAGACTGAATTTTTCTAAGGTTTTATGGACTGATGAAATGAGAGTGAGTCTTGATGGGCCAGATGGATGGGCCCGTGGCTGGATTGGTAAAGGGCACAGAGCTCCAGTCCGACTCAGACGCCAGCAAGGTGGAGGTGGAGTACTGGTTTGGGCTGGTATCATCAAAGATGAGCTTGTAGGGCCTTTTCGGGTTGAGGATGGAGTCAAGCTCAACTCCCAGTCCTACTGCCAGTTCCTGGAAGACACCTTCTTCAAGCAGTTGTACAGGAAGAAGTCTGCATCCTTCAAGAAAAACATGATTTTCATGCAGGACAGTACTCCATCACACTTAGCGTCCAAGTACTCCCACAGCATAGCTGTAACTTGAGAAAGGGTATAAAAGAAAGAAAATCTAATGACATGGCCTCCCCTTGTTCCTGTGAAGTCTACAGGAACCCCATTGAGAACCTGTGGTCCATCATCAAATGTGGAATTTACAGGGAGGGAAGCAGTACACCTCTCTGAACAGTGTCTGGGAGGCTGTGGTTGCTGCTGCACGCCAATGTTGATGGTGAACAGATCAAAACACTGACAGAATCCATGGATGGCAGGCTTTTGAGTGTCCTTGCAAAGAAAGGTGGCTATATTGGTCACTGATTTGTTTTTGTTTTGTTTTTGAATGTCAGAAATGTATATTTGTGAATGTTGAGATGTTATATTGGTTTCACTGGTAATAATAAATAATTGAAATGGGTATATATTTGTTTTTTGTTAAGTTGCCTAATAATTATGCACAGTAATAGTCACCTGCACACACAGATATCCCCCTAACATAGCTAAAACTAAAAACAAACTAAAAACTACTTCCAAAAATATTCAGCTTTGATATTAATGAGTTTTTTGGGTTCATTGAGAACATGGTTGTTGTTCAATAATAAAATTAATCCTCAAAAATACAACTTGCCTAATAATTCTGCACTCCCTGTATAGCGACATTTCTACTCAGATTAAGTGATATAGGAAATAGCACTTTAAAAAAAAGAAAGCGAAAAGATAAGATTAACACAGTGCAAGCTATGTAGAGCTTAAACGTATTAAGGAAGCAGGTCATATGCACTGAGAGTGAGCTCAAAAAGATAAACAGTAATTAACTGTCAAAGATAGTAATCAACGTTAGCTAGAGAATGAAAACCCCTCGGAGGTCCCCACACAAGATAGAAATGAAAGCTTTACATGGAGATAGAAAAACAAACAGATTGACTGCTCAATAGTTGAAATCGAGAGATGCACTGCAGAAACACCATGCCAGAAATAGGTATGTATGCCCAGGCTCAGCTTCAGAATCAGAAGACTCCCTGCATGGGTGTAAGGGTGTTGGGCCCATTAACCCACTAGCGGCGTATGGCAGCTGTAAGGTAGTTGGACCAGCTCCATATGATGAGCAGAGGTTCTACTGATGGTCGGAAGTCCCAGTTCTATTTGCGGTGCATTTTCTCTGTAAATGCCACCAACTTCTCTATGGGTCTCTTGTTCCATAGGCGTGCCACTTGGGTCTGGGAAGGATTAGAGTCACCCTTCTCCTGCACTGTTTCACGCTGTGGTTTCTTAATGTAGATCGGATCACGTGACATAGCGTGTCCCAGGTGCACCTTCAGCTGTGCCCAGAAGGACTCAAAATATGCATTTAGGTGTTGTAGGAAGTCGTAAGTTGAGTGAGCACGCAGTGTTTGCCATCTTAGAGGTTCCTGGATGCCTATCACTTGTTCGGTGGTTGTACTGCTCGCTTTCACCAGTGGAAGGGAGTCTCTGGAGATTAGATCGGGATCACCCCCACCGGTCCAAAGGGGGAAAAAACGGGGCACCAAATGGCAGCTCAGATTGGAGCGGAGTCTTTCTTATCTAAGAACGTTGAATGGTAGCGCCATCAGTATCAGGCAGATTGAACATCCAAGCTTAAAACTGTGTTTGGAGGAAACAATATAAGTGAAGAATGTGTGCAAAGGAAGGGCATGACAAAAAAAATTACACAGATCTTGACTGTTGGGATTAATTGAGAATACAGAGCGAAGTGTCTGACACATCTGTGTGCAACAAAGAAACACTTCTTGATAATTTGAGTCATTGGCATATACTCTAACATTATTTTGCTTCTATTACTATAACATTGTTAGAATCTGTTCACTTGTATTTTTCATAATTCTCCTCTCTAAAAAAAATAGATGTATTGACAAACAATGTACAGAGTTTAGAAGAAAAATTTCAGTATCTTAACGCTCAGCTACGTTTCAGGAACTTGCTGTAAGAAATTGAACAAGATCAATTAAAAAGTTTTTATATGAGTTTTTTGAATAATTAGACATGGAAGAAGAAGGATTAATCCATACAATTGAACTTGTTCCATGGGTGTGACAGGAGGGTAGCCATGTGTGGAGGGTGGCAGAGTGTGGATGTGTGGCAGTGGGAAGCATGGCAGTATGTGAATGTGTGGTAGTGGGGAGGGTGGCAGTGTGTGGATGTGGGACAGTGGGGAGGGTGGCAGAGTGTGGATGTGTGACAGTGGGGAGAGTGACAGTGTGTGGATGTGTGGCAGTAGGGAGGGTGACAGTGTATAGATGTGTGACAGTGGGGAGGGTTAAAGTGTGTGGATGTGTGACAGTGGGGAGGGTAGCAGTGTGTGGATGTGTGAAAGTGGGTAGGGTGGCAGTGTGTGGATGTGCGACAGTGGGGAGGGTGGAAGTATGTGGATGTGTGACAGTGGGGAGGGTTAGTGTGTGGATGAGTGACACTGGGGAGGGTGGCAGTGTGTGGATGTGTGACAGTGGAGAGGGTAGCAGTGTGTGGATGTGTGAAAGTGGGGAGGGTGGCAGTGTGTGGATGTGTGACAGTGGGGAGGGTTAGTGTGTGGATGTGTGACACTGGGGAGGGTGGCAGTGTGTGGATGTGTGACACTGGGGAGGGTGGCAGTGTGTGGATGTGTGACAGTGGAGAGGGTAGCAGTGTGTGGAAGTGTGACAGTGGGGAGGGTGGAAGTATGTGGATGTGTGACAGTGGGGAGGGTTAGTGTGTGGATGAGTGACACTGGGGAGGGTGGCAGTGTGTGGATGTGTGACAGTGGAGAGGGTAGCAGTGTGTGGATGTGTGAAAGTGGGGAGGGTGGCAGTGTGTGGATGTGTGACAGTGGGGAGGGTTAGTGTGTGGATGTGTGACACTGGGGAGGGTGGCAGTGTGTGGATGTGTGACACTGGGGAGGGTGGCAGTGTGTGGATGTGTGACAGTGGAGAGGGTAGCAGTGTGTGGAAGTGTGAGAGTGGGGAGGGTGGCAGTGTGTGGATGTGTAACAGTGCGGAGGGTAGCAGTGTGTGGATGTGTGACAGTAGGGAGGGTTAGTGTGTGGATGTGTGACAGTGGGAAGGGTGGCAGTGTGTGGGTGGATGGCCAGGGTGCATTGGGACATGATCTCCTCTCCTCCAGCCTACCATGCAGTGGGATCTCCTCTCTGCCTGCCTGCGTGACAGGAGGTGTGCTCTCCTTTGTCCCAGCCACCCATGCAAAGCCTCCCATTCAAAGTTGTATTCCTGGTATTATCGCTCCCCCTGCCTCCCACCTCCCTCGTGCCCCTTTCCCCCTGCAAGTTAAATGAAGGGTTAAAAACCCTTTATTTACTTACCTGATCCCAGTGCCAATGTCCTTCGGCGCTGGGTTGACGCTATGCCCCTCCAATGTTGTGCGACAAACGCACACTAATGCGCATGCACGGCAAATGCCGCGCGTGCATTAAACCTCCACATAGGAAATCAATCAACCACTGAATCAATGCTTTCCTATGGGGAAAAATCTGACCCTGGATGTCCTCATGTAGTGCGTGAGGACATCCAGTGTCAGATACCAAACCAAAGGTCCATTTGGATGCAGGAAGCGACTCCAGTGGCTGTCTTGGAGACAGTCACTGGAGGCAGACTTAATGCTGCAATGTAAACATTGCAGTTTCTCTGGGCAGGGACAGATGTTTTTGTTTTTTTCCTCTACTTTTTCTACTGATCTGGAAGCCGCTACCCTCAGCTGTAGGTTCATTTTAACTTAGGCTTGTCTTTTTGCTCCAATTTTTGTGAGGGCAGATGGGCACTCCATGGTACTTTCTGACTATGGTTCAGAAAGTTATTGTTGAGAGTAATGTCATACCATGTTTGTTTAATTGCGTATTTGTTAGGTTGCTGTCAAGATGCAGGAAAAGTTAAAAATGAATATCTGGTGAGTGGTGACCATTTGTAATGGTTAAATTACAGGGACAGTGCATGACCAAGGACTAAATTTGAATTTTAAATGTATTTCAAATTGTATTTTAAACTGTGAAGAAAGAGGCAGTAGATATCCTAATGATACAAGAAACTTATTAGAGAGAAATAGATAAGGAGACTTGGTGGTGGAATCACAGATTTAAAAAATGTGTTTTCCTCCTAATTACGAGATTAAAAAAAAGAGGTGTAGCTATAATATTTTCTAATTCTATCCAAAGTGAAATTAAACATCAAAGCAAGGATAGAGAAGGTTGATATATCATACTGGTATGTGCCATTGATAATCAGTTATATACTCTAGTGAATGTCTATTTACCTAACAATAAACCAATAAAGTATATATAGTTTTTTATATATACTATATGTGTGGATCTTCCACTGCTTCCTGGATCCTGATTCAAGAGGGGTAGTGCCTCCCTTAAAGGCACATTGGCGTCTACACATAGAGCCTAGTATAACAGGCTCCAATTCAGGTGAGCACTTTTTATGCACTGCTGCTCTTGATTGTTCACCTGATTGTTCACCTGCACTAGGATATTTTGTGTTCTCTCCACATATATCCCTACATCTGTGAGCTGTATATCTGGAGGAGGTTTGGTATAACCATATATACCTAAAGCTGCTGTGATTTGAGCCTATCTCCAGGCTCTTCACCATGTGAGTTGGATATATACTCCCCCCTCCATTGTATCCATAGTGCATTGGCATACTGCACCATTATATGTCTAATTTTTCTATTCTAGGCCTATTGTTATACATACAAGTGATATTTGATTTCCCTAAATACAAATAGGGATAAGATATTGAATCCAGCACTCCACTGAGTGATCTTTTTTGTGGCGGTACTATCCACCAAGTTCACCCTTCTTTGCATTTGTGTAGGATTGGGATACCTGCACGTGTGTTGAGCTGCTTGTGCTATATATACACTGTTGTTAAGCGCCTTTCTATATCACACAGATTCTTTGTTTTTCCTTTAAAGCAATAAAGTGTTTTAAAAATATATATATATTAAAGCGGTAGAAAAAGTCAAAATAGCTGGAGATTTAAACTGTTGATAGCCAGAGACCTGAACTCTGCTGCAGCCCATACACTTGATAAAAAGACTAATGCTTCTATTAAAATTGACAGAAATGTCATAAAACAATCTAAAGCTGCGTGCTGCAGATGTTTTTGATGTCTGGCGATTGTACCACTTTAGGGAGAAAGATTTCACACATTTTTCAAGGGGTCATTTATCTTTCTCTAGGATGGATAAGATTTGGGGGGATATTTATTTTAAAATTAGATTATATAGGAAGCAACACAAATAAAATTTATATGGAAAACAATGTAAAGCCTGACCATAGTCTAGTCAATTTAGAATTAAATAACAAAATTAAAAAATATTCAAGATCTACTTGACAAATGGATGATTACATGTTAAAAATAAGGAGAATCAAGAATTTTTATCTAAAATAATCAATTACTATTTTCAGGAGAATACTGCAAAAGCCGTTGAACATACTATAAAGTGTGTGTTTTCAAAGTGGTTTGAGAGGTTACCTGATAAAAATGAAAAAGGTGCCTCACTAGCTGATTTGTACATAGAATTTTACACATTATCTTCCATTATTAAAATCGAATTTTTAAATGAAGATCAATTAAAGTTAGAAGAAATTTAAAAACAATACACATATAAGAGTTGAATAAAACTATAAAAAAATTAGATTTCCTTAAATTGAGATATTATCATATGGAGAAAGGGTAGACAGAAGCCTCTCAAGTAAAATAAAATTAAAATTAAAAAAGAGAGATAAAAAAGTAGACAAAAAATGTTTACATAACTCAGATGTCGCCCTCCTGACCCTGTCGTTGGACGCGAATAAGTGTTTGACAGAGTCAGTTGGGATTATATGTTCCAAGGAAGAGGCTACAATCTGCCTCTATGCTGACAATGTCTGTATTTCTGAATCAAACCCTGTAAAATCTTTAACAGCAGTGATGAAAGAAATGACATAGTTACATAGCTGAAAAGAGACTTGCGTCCATCAAGTTTAGCCTTCTTCACATATGTTTTTGCTGTTGATCCAAAAGACAAAAAAAAACAGTCTGAAGCACAACAAACTAGGAAAAACTTCCTTCTTGACCCCAAAATGGCAGTTGGATATCTCCTTGGATCAAGCAGCTATTACCCCACTAATTAGAAATTATATCCATGTATGTTTTGTTTTTGCAAATATTTATCCAATTGCTGTTTAAACATCTGTATCTGATAAAACCACCTCTTCAGGCAGAGAATTCCACATCCTTATAGTTCTGACTGTAAAAAAAAAACCTTTTCTTTGCCTTAGATTAAATCGCTTTTCTTGCAGCCTAAATGCGTGACCTAAAATTGCACAGCATATTCAAGGTGTGGTCTTA